GTACGACAAATTTTTTAAGTGTGTAGATTGGCTGCAAGATAGTAAAATTCTCGAGTATCTAGAAATTTTCTATTCAGCAGCCAATCAACGCGCTTGAAAAATTTGTCGTACGACAAATGTAATATCAGCCTTAAGAATGCCTCTCGCGATCGCGTTTCAAATGGTAATGCGACGACACGTGCAGAGACTCGCGCCGTTACCTGCTCGCTCGAGTTTCGCTGACCGAGTGACAATACGGCGTGCGTCGGCCTCGCGTACGCCGCAAAACAAACACCAGGGTCGTGCCGGTGGATTTGTCACCGTTCCGAAATATTAAACATGCGTTCACGCCGCATATTCTGTTCTTTGTGTCTAAATTAATTTCGACAAATGAACTGTTATTACATTTACGTTTTGTTTTAATGATTTATTTGCGTCACCTAACGCTTCCGATCGGGATTTCCGATTGAGAGTGCTTTGAAAAGGAAATGATTGTTAATTGAATTCTAATTAAACTTGCTTAAATTTGATTAAAGCGTATGCAAAGTATGTATTATTAATAGCGAATTTTAACTGATTTGAATCGATTCTCGATATCTATTGATTAAACGCTGAGAAAAAGTTTTTGAAAATTTATTTCTGGCATATAATGTTTATTTCACTGAATTTATTTCATTGAACGTGAAATAAACATTATATGCCACAAATAAATTTTCAAAGACTTTCTCAGAGAATTGCACTAAGATTAATTTCTTAAACACGGAAAAAATGTAGCTACCGTAGCTAAAAACTGCATGTGGTAGCTAAATTTCAGTTGCAAAATATAAACAGCTAATATTTAGTTGTGATAGTTAATACTTTGCGGCTGTGCCTATTGTATTAGGTGCGACAGCAAACTGTTTGCTGTGCTTTAGAAGTTTATAGTTAATGTAGCAAAATATTTTTGGCAAATTATGATTAGCTACGGTAGCGAAAAATGTTTTTCAACGAACAGAAATATGCGGCGAAATATAAGCATCTATTCTACTTATTCTTAAAGAGTAAAGTTTATATTTGTTTTTAAATGGCTACGACTTCATAAGGCAACGTGTGTTTCGGAACGTGCGACCGCACTGACAAGTAATACCTTGTAATTTGCAAATATGCGGTACAAGTCCTGCCATCACACCATGTACCTTTACGGGTACCTACATGCCTTCGTCGCATGGTCGACCTTAGTTAGATCTAGAATTTGCACTACCGCAGTCATTACAGTTACGTAATGTTGTCGTCTAAACTTCCCGACGGTTATTACGGTTATGTAATGGTGATGTCTAAACGTCGGCGAAACCACGAAGCGCGAATGTTAAAATTAACTTGAAAATTTTAATAAACAATATATTATCGAGTCGCGCGAAAGTCGATTAATGTCAAAGTAATTGTGTTAAATTTGCTTCGCGTGATAAAATATGTATGCTGGAAAAATAGTATTTATGATTGGATATTTGTCCATTTCATGCGTTGTTATACATACATTAGGAAACATCACAGGGATCTGGTATCACACGGTTCATTAAGATAGCGGTATTCAGAAAATACACCAAGAATATGAAGTCGAGATTACTCGCTAACTATTCCTGGAATTTTCCTGGAAAGGGAGATACGCCTTCTCCGAAACGCAACGTGGAAATGTGGATGAAAGCATATTCTGAATGACTTAAACTCAAAAGTAGCGCTAATTAACGGCATTTATGTTTACTGGATTTGCTTGTTTAGTGCACAACATTAAATTACGTATCGCATGTTAAATCGTAGGTACACGAAGATATTTTATATTTTTCATTTAACGTGTTACGTACGTTCTATTAATATCGCGTGTTTGATGTTTATTGATAATAAAAATTGATTTTGAATAAAAAATTTATTGACAATAAAAGCAATTAAATTGTTAAGAAAAATATTGTCGTGCCAACCGTTATTTTATTCTATTGATATATTTCCAAAAGGCATGCACACAATATAAATAAAATAACAAATATAAATTATGACCAAATGAAGATTATTTTCCGTGATTTTGTTACATTTCAGTGCAAAACATGCAACTGAAGTAATTTAATGTTGGAAATTAAATAAGCGAAATTTTTCCAATAAACTGTTCCTCGGTCCTTATTGTACTTTCGTCGTGATTTATCAGCGGTTTCATTTTAATTCAAAAGGAGCAGAATCGCGTAAGCAGAGGGAAAAATCGAGAAATAATCTATATTTTATCTTGCAATGTTATTGCTCTTTATCAAATTGAAATTACATGTTACATGCTAAAAGTGATATATTTCACTGTGAATTTATTAATTTATAATTGCTTTATGTAAAAATATGCTACATATTAATTATGTTAATTATTATATATATCATGTGGTTAACTATACGTTGTTACTTCGCAATGTATATTCGTAGCATACATTTTAGAATAGCACAGAACACGTACAACTCGTTGCAGATATAATTGTATATAGGATTCGTAGGAAAGAGATATACGAGTCCTGACACTAGGTAGGTCGAGACATAATTGTGTTCGTGTCTTTGTTTTGAGAATATCGTAGTGCGCGATTTCAAGGCACTGTAGTCAATAGATTTCATTTAATGCAATTGTAACGAACAGGATTCGTATAGCAGCAATTAAATGGCAAAGACTGACGTTTAATAATAAAACATACAGTCCCTGCGGTGGGTACGAATGGTAAAAGGCAAAGGCACGCCGTAAACGCGCACAGATCAGGCATCTTTTCAATTAAAATTTGCGACGGGGTAAGCGAAAGAAAGCCAGGTAATAGGAGGGAAGTGAAGCAAAGTGAGCAGGAGAAAATAATGAAATGTCAATAAAAGGACGGCGTGACGACGCGGACCAGGGGAAGCCACTATATTTATTTATTATAACGCGGGTGTTACGATTCAGAACGATGTTTACATTGTGTAAATAATAGCGCCCTGGTTCGGTGACGTCGGAAACACTAGATCTTCCGCTCGGTCCTTCGTGTTGTTTTGACAAAGGTACGCTCGGAGAGCCTCGACGAATTGCTGAACTCGGTTTTTATCGATGATAGCCACGATGCAACCGCCCCAACTGCAATAACGGGAGTAACGATTTCACCGAGGGGGAAACCGCTGACCAAAATCATGCACATACACTAATGTCCAGTGGGCATTACTTTATCTTATTATACTATTTTATCTTATTTATCTTGTTTTATCTTATCCAATCAAGAATTATATAATTTAATTATTTGGATATATTTTGTTAGGAAAAAATACATTTTTATTGTCTCTACAAAAGTAACGATATCATCAAGTTGCGCCAACTAAAATGGATATTTATACAAACTAGATAGTTAATTATTTTTGATATTAAAATGTTATGTCCAAACAATCGGGCATAAGAATTTACCGAAAGAAATAAAGGAGACAATAATATTAATGAGACAAATTTTTAATACTTATTTAATGAAAATATAACGCAAACAACTTTAATACAAACAAATATTTTATTAAAAGATGGCCTTTTCTAATTTAATTGTTAGATACATATCGCTCCTGATTCATTATTGTTTATTAAAAAAACTTGGCGCTGCTAAGCCAAGTGTTTTAATTGCGCTCTTCCTCCTTCCTTACAAGTATTAAACTCTCTCTTTCTTTTGTGCGTGTGCGTGTGCGCGCGCGCGCGTATGAAATAGGGATTAGAATTAATTATAAGTTTAGATTGTATATTTTAGCGGTTTAGCAGCGCCAAGTTTATTTAATAAACAATAATATCGTGAATCAGGACCGATATGTATTCAGCAATTAAATTAGAAAAGGCCATCTTTTAATAAAATATTTATTTGTATTAAAGTTGTTTACATTATATTTTGATTGAATAAGTATTCATAATTTGTCTCATTAATATTCTTATTTTATCTTGTTATATCCTATTATATCTTTATAATGCCCCAGCAAGGCCTAATGCCCAAACCAATGTCCAAAAAATGCCTAGTAATGCCCAGTAATGTCGCAAATCTGTACACCACAATGCCCTCGGCGGTTTTCCCCTCGAATTTCACTTTCATGGAGCAATAAAAGTGACAATGACGCGCGCGCGTGTGTGTGAAGCAATATAACATATATATAAAACAATATTGAGTAAATTATTAATATAATATCCGATAATTTCTCTCGCAAAGCATCCTGCATCTGGCACAGCGGAGAATGCAATTTTAGGTGTAATTCACATTTTCTTGCCGCGCACACATTATTACAGACCGTTTTAGCCCGGTGTAATAATATACTTACCCCGCTCCCGTGAGTCGAGCGCCAAATGCACCGCAAAGCATGGCCCTTTCGACGAGCGCATCCACGCTAGGATGGCTGCACTCGTACAGTTTATGGAGACTGGCGTGGCTCTTCGACATCAGGCTGCCGAGATGTTGAAGCTTCTCGTGTTCCATTATGCTGCCTTCCTCGTTTATACGGCGGAACGCGAGCACTCTGCCGGCCTCTGCGGTGTAAAAGCAACGGCGCAGTTAATCGAGGCGAGTTTACTGGCCACCGTGATAATGAACACTGCGCTTTTCAACGTGATGATGATTCAATGCAACATTTATCAGGCATTTGCTGAGTGTTTAATGTGACGCTAATCGGTTCGACGTTAATTAATACGTGCGCCTCGTTGTAGAGTTTGCCGTTGGAAAAGGGACAATTACAAAATGCAAGAGAAGTCAATATAAATTTTTTATGTCTCATGACCAGGCCATTTTTTGCATTAACTCTCCGCGGCATTTAAGTTTAGGATTACGGATCGGCGTTCAAGTCGTTTAGAAGTTGTGGTCGATGTCCAACAAGATAATTCATAGCTTCGTAGAATAATGCATGTATATGATTGATCACCGGTGTAGTTTTATCCACAAAACCAGCAGATGCTTCAGGGATTCGATCTGCAACTTCTTCGCGTCTTACGCTGTTGATGGTAATATCGAGAGACAAGATGGAAAATACTTAAATACTTTTATAACACAGTTAACGGGGGAACGAACAAAGTTTAACCCCTAACTTTTTTAATAGTGCACCTTCGAACGTTTTCTTTTCCTTTCTTTTTTTTAATGAGCATGAGATTCGCGGGAAAATGTAACGTGGCCTTCGTTCGCGTGGAAAAAGTTAAAGATATATTGGATGGTAAAAAAAAAACAGAAAAGATTTTAAACTCTCTTGATTTATAGGATTTAAAATCGCGTTTTGCGATTTACTAGTGCATGAAAATTGATGCTTTTACCTTGAAAAACGTGCAGAGCCCGCTGCTGCAGCTTGAACGTTTGCGAGATATTAAAGGAACTGACGAGAGACGTTTTCTTCAATCGTTCGTAATCCGTACCGAGGCTCTCACAGATCTACGACAAAAATTTATATACCATCGATAATGGTCCTTTGATTCATCGTTAACGGCGAGACAGTCGCCCGACACCAAGTCGTTTAACACGATTGAATAAATTGCTCGAAAAATTGTTTTTTAAAATCATTTTTCATCGTTGTTTGCAGCGCGATTTATGAAGTTTGCTTTTTGCCGAGGATACGCGTTTTTAATAATCTTTATGAAGATCCATGCTTCCTCATTGAAAAACTGTACAGGAGAAAAATCTCGGTTCCTCTTTATTCATTGCGTAACAGTGTGTACCTCATCAATAGTGTACGGCTCTTCGTGCAGTTCTGCCATTACTACAGTAACCATCTCGTCCAAGTCTGAGGCGAGTCTCTCCTGAATGTCGATTAATCTTTGAACACGCTCCCAATCCATATTTCTTTTCTTGGCTATCAGCTAAACAGAGAAAGGGGACTTTATTACGCAGTTAGGGAAAGGGATATTGCGACGTGAGATAGTTTCGTGACACTTTTATTTCTCCTTTTACATTGTTACGACCTTGATGAATTGATGAATGAAGAAGAATATCTTTAGAAAGGGAGAAAAAGCGAAGGAAATAGAATTAGAGGAGCTAAGAGTTGGAAAATGTCCTGAATAAATACGCATCGATCAACGTCTATCGAAGAGCAACGAGCGCGAAATGTAATCGGGCAATGAGTTCTTTATTCTTTGAATTATTTTTTGTGCTTATTTTTTTACAGACGTTAAAGAATTTCGCGATATTTGAACTAGGAAGGTAAAAATCAGGCCGCATAATCGCGCCAGTCTAATTAATGTTCGGAAATAAATAATAGTAGTTGCAACGGAAATCCTTTTCTTCGAGAGAGATGCGGGATTAATACCTATATAAAGTGCAAATACCTGTGCGGCTAATCGGCATTCCGCAACTCTGAGATTGTAGTCGGCGGTCGAGGCTTTGTTGTGATACGCTTGACTGTGCGCTATTACGAACACTGCGTTTTCTGGCAATGTTATATCAGTTGCACGCAGAGGATTAAACTCAATCAATTTGGCCGAACCTTTGCCAACAAACAGACAAGAGCGCGAAAAAAATGAGACATTGAGTTTAACCAGGCTCGGATTAGGGGGGGGGGGGGGCTATAATCCCGGGTCTTATGGGTGTCTTAGCCGACATAATTTCGTAAGTAATGTGATTCGTTTATGACTTAAATGAAGTTTTACTTAAATGCAAAATTTCACAAAGGGAAAATTTTTTCAAAAGTCGATCAGACTGGCAAAAAGTGATCTTTATTTAAGTCACAACGTTTTAACATCTTTATCGGGTCATATGGTTGCCACATATTTAATTAGGGTTGGCACAACTCCAATAAATAGTAATATTTGGGACGGCTATATCTGTGGTTGTTATACCTACACTGATATGATAAGTGGAGACAACTACATGCGTTTTGTACAGTACTTAGTGAATGTTGCAACACAAAACAATGTAGGTGCTCCTACTATTTATACGGCATTTTAATTTTAGTTATTTTTGTCTTAGCCGGTCTTTCCGCGTAATCTTATAACGAGTAATTTGATTTGAAATACGTAATGTACGATCAATAAAAGTCGGGATTACCTGCTTTCCCAAGGAAGGCAATGGCTTGATCCATTCCGCCACCTTGGGTGCCGATGTGTCTCTCCGCTCGAGCACTAATAGTCGCTAATTCATGCTTTGACAATTGGCGCTGTGATATACAAAGAGCTTGAATAATAATTTATAACGACGATTATAATTTATATTAATAATTTTTTAATGGAGGTAACACAATGCACAGTCCGAATAAAACGACAGGGAGTCTGCGGGGGGCAAACTTATAATGGGAACTGTCGGACTAAGGAATCCGAACATAAGATTTATAGAAAGCTGAGAGGTATATGTAAGATAATGATGAACGTGGAACTACATACAAAGCATTACAGAAGTATCTCGAGGATTCGCGGCGGATGTCGCGTTCGATATCCACTCGAGCAAAACACGAAACCGTCAAAGGGAATAGGATCTGTATCCGAGAACGCGGAGGAAATATTAGAAGAATGGTATACGAGGTAGTGATCGGTTTGATTCACTTGACTAAACACAATACACCTCTCGTCACTTAATGCTTGACATCGACAAATACGCGACGTTTCTACGTCGTTCGCAGTAAGTCTGCCGGAAGATAGAAAAGTTTAATTGGAGAATTATGCGAAAAAAACTACCAGGGTAACTTCGCATTAAAGTGAAAAAAGAAACACTTTTCGAGTTAATTAAAGTGTAAAAAAGTAATTTGCGAAATTCAGCTTTGATATTCGCGCGCGGCGCGCTATTTTTGTTAATTAGTTTTTCAGATGACACTTTTGTGACATTATTTCGTAATACGGCGCGGAAATATGCGGGATTATGCGAAAAGCATAATAATATTTAACATCTCGCGCAACATGAATAATCAAACTGCTCACCTGACTAGCATGTACGACGGAAAGGAGTGCAGCCGAGACGAGCGCGCTGGAGCTGGAAAGGCCAGAATTAGGGGGAATGTTTCCCCATACCGCAACCAGGATTCCCGTTGGAACGGACTCCGCTGGGATTACCTCCAGCGCTCCTTTTACGCCGCACAGAAAATATTTGTACCACGACGGCCCGCTCTCGCTCTCGCTAATACAAGATCTGAAATGCGATTGCGCTGCGTGTTTATATTTATACAAATTTATCCCTCGGCATCAAGGAAAGATATTAGAGTCTGAACACTCCATTAATATATGATATCAGGGTCTTAATATCTCATTAATGTATATTAGAGGCGAATATCTTATCCGGAAATTTACTGGCGCGAGAGGAATTAGGGGGGTTGTAAGAGTTGGAAAGTGTCCTGAGTAAATGCGCATCGATCAATGTCTATCTTTATATATGTACGTGTCTCCTCTCTAGTCTGTTTCCCCTCTTGTCCCGTTATTATGTAAAAATTAACGCGTACGAACATATGTGAAAAATCGGAAAATCGATAGTGGTTCGCCAAGTCTGTTGGCTGAGTTATATGCTACCCGACATGGTTGCGCGACATTGAATAATGAATGAGATTAAGAAAGTTCATATTATCTTCCTCAGCATTATACCGGGAGCAAAGAAAGCGCGGAGGTAATTTAATCCGAACGAGAAGCGGGGTTGCGCGCGGATACGATGTCATCTGCTTTTTCTTACATTACGTAACGCGGGTCCGTTGGTCATCCGTTATTTTTTTTTATCGGGTTTTTACATCGCGAGGTAACAATCTCGCTCTTCATTCAAATTAATTTCATTTCCCCGTGACGGTAAGGGGATGTTATCTCAGCCAACGCGAGCGCACGTACGCTGTGGGGATAAATCGCATATAATTCTAGCCTCAACGTCATAATCCAAGATGGCCGCGGTAAAGGGATCAGCAGGCTTAAATTGTTAGGGGGCTATAAGTGCTTATATAAGTGCCTGAGACCACAACTGCGAGCACGACAATGCGTTGTGGAGGAGGTGTTGCATCATATGCCACGGGCGGTATACCGCGGTATACTTATACCTATATACATCAGACGCGATGATCGCAGGATCTTAGTACTCTCGGCAAAGTTCCGTTAAAATGAATATGTCGCTCAGTTTCTGTCAACTGTCGTAAAGTTGTAATCGACAAACTTATCTTAACTTATTGAACAATATCGTTCCCTGAATAAACTTAGACTCTTATGAAATTACACGCTCACCCCGCATTTTCAAAGCTGCACTGAAAGTCCTTGTATTTAGGATCGACGTTGGTAAGATGAATCTCATTAGCTTTCGATAATGTCACCGCGACAAGGATATCCTGTTCGATGGCCATTGGACAGACGGAATACCCGCAGTAATCGATGTGCTCGCCTATCAGATTCACTCTGTAACAGGACAGAAATATCCGTAAATGTATTTATCGTAACCAAGGTGGCTTTGCAAACGCTGTAGGAGCCACTGGCTATTCATAAAACTTGAAGATACTGGCATTCCAAAATTAAGATGTAAATTTATCTGACGATTATAAAGTCCGTATTGAATCATACGTAATATTTTGCGTAATTATTTTTGTACCGGGTTAGGTACTTGGTAGGACTTATAAGAGAAGACCCTCGATTTAATGCTAAAAGAGAATTTACCTCCCTGGCACTCGAACGAAGAAGGCAGGCTCCACATTGTATTTCGAGGCGAAATGAGCGGCCAAGGTCTTCAATCGCGATGAAATATCGGCGGTGGGTGCCAAGATGGGTACAAAATTATCCACCTCGACGGTACGGGCCCCGTTAGCTTGACGAGACATTTTTAACAGCCACTTACGCAGACGTGACAAGACCCCCTAAAACTGCAAGATGCCTCGTCGAATTGTCCCGAACCTACCACGAGACGGTCCGCATTATTCGCGAATATATAATATCTTTTTAAACATTTTGACGTTGCGCAATTAGCCTAATGAAATTATATTGTTACATGATACGGTTGCATGATTTATTGCGCGATTAAGTACCATGCTTTGGGACTGGCGGTAACTTTGTTGGTAATTACGCTATTGTTTCAGGTTGAGCTGCAGGAACCGCATCGAGTAGAAATATGCTTGCAGCGATACCGCTACGTAAGTTCAATTTAAGCCTCTTAGCCTCGATATAACGACACGATTATTTAATAAGAAATTATATTAACAACACGTAATATAACTAAATAACTGAACGTGGTAACTATATATAAAATGTATTCTAAAAGATATTTAAATGTTCTCCATATTGAAATGTATTAAATGGCGCAGTTAATGATTTTTATATCTTCGTTATTTTTATTAGAAGACGAGACGAGAATATTTCCAAGAAATTAATTGATAACTATCCTTGGTCGTGCTATCAAACCGCCGTAATTTAAAAGGTGGTCCTTTGTACAAGATTAGATGAGCAAGCACGTGAATAGAAATTAAGAATAAAATAATAGAAGCAATCTCGTAATAATAAACAATAAAGTACATAATAAATTCTTCGCGATTAAATTTCATTACAGTGTAAAGCCTCTATCTCTCGGGGCTCGCCGCGGTGCTTTTATTCAAACGTTTATTGAGGTCGCGGAATACAAGCTCGCCCTTTAATTCTGGGAATGGCATTTGATGGAAATGACGTTTAATATGTACACGCGGCGAAGTGGCTCGCAACATGAACCGCATAACAAATCTGCTTCATTTCGTGAAATTATTGACGAGTTAATCCGGTATTATAAGCTGAATAAGATTTGCGAAGCCATTAATGCATGACGGCGTAATTGCAATTACCGGCAATCGAATGGTCAATGCTGCCACATACCTGCCGAATGTGACGTTTTACCTCTACGAGTTTTCTTGCGTTGGCGATATTTCTTCATTTCGTGCCATTTCCCGAGATATTGCAACCACAATGAACACTTCCGTACGCTACGATAAATATTAGATCTTGTTTGCAATTTGCAATTCAGCTTATAAGCTTTGCATTATTCAGCTTATGAGCTTGAATACTCGTTTCTTTTATCAAGGTATACACATACGATAAGATATACACATACAAATGATAATGTTATCGTCATAGTCGAGTGTTGTACGGTACTTGAAAACGTATATCAGTCATTATCAAATGGATATTTTTAAATTCGCATAATGCACGTTACGCACGATATATCGAAAAAAAAGATGCGACCGTCTAGTAATGCATTAATAAAGGATAATTGTCGAGCTCGAATATTGCTGTAGAATTCTTGTATCAAGCAAATATTGTCAAGTGTACCAAAAATTAGTAAAATTAAAAATTTTTTTCGGTTTTGATATAAAGTCGACCAGCATAGTCTAGATTTTGCCGCGTACTTTAATTCCGTAAATGAGTTTTGCATTTCTATAAGGCCAATTAAAAGATTACTTCTAACAAAGAATGTCGATAAAACAGACGGCTTTAGGATCCCCTTAAGGACACGTAAGAAATCGATATTACACGATAAATATTGTTACGCCCGCGTCCGGATGCGACGCCCAGTATCGTGGCGGGTCGCCGCGATACCGATTTCAATTATTCTGTAAACAAGAGTATGTATTGATTCGAAGTTTGGCTTTCAAGCAAGATGGGCTTATCTGGGAAAGTTGTCGGAGCTCCTCGTCGCGAAGGTGGAGGGCCGCAATTAATTCCTGCTCCCTTTGTGCGTGCTCCTCACGCATTTTAGCAATCTCCTCCAAGACAGTCTGTAGGGACGGGACCTCTGTCGTTGGGCCGTCGCTTACGCCGCTTACGGCAACGGGGGTGCCCAGCCGGGCTCTTTTCCTGGAGGGGACCGTTGTGGTGGGACTCGTCACTGCTCGTCCGTGTTTCCGGACGAGCCCCCGAAATGTTAGGCCTCGCGCGCCGCCGCTTCGTCCGCTATCCCGGAACTCGCGCACAGGCACAAACTGTCGCACTCGCGTAATAAGGTGGCGCAAGATATTTCAGGAGAAACGACATTTATTTTATAAAGGTGAGCCCGCCTTGCTCGAAGGCCAAACTTCGAATCAATACATAATCTTGTTTACAGAATAATTGAAATCGGTATTGCGGCAACCCGCCACGATGCCGGGCGTCGCATCCGGATGCGGGCGTAACAGTATTATTAATTGGTAACCGATAATTATACGCAATTGCCAGAAAAGCAGTAACTTGCGTTTACTACTTTTACCAATCGGGTACTGAAGGTTACTCATAATTACCAGTAAATGTGATAAATGGAAATCAATCAATCAATCAATCACTTTATTGCACTTCAGCGTGCGTGCCAAGAAACGGGACTTGATTTACAATTATCACCTTACCTCGTTTACACTTGATATTAAATGCATTTTCAAAATCATTTAATTACGCACAATTGCCTAATGAATCAAATTTATGGCAACAGATAAATTATCTCCTATGTTTTTCGTATTTTGTTTACGATTTCTTTGCTTTTTCTGTGATCCATGATTTTTAATTTTGGCCTCTCCTCACTAAAACTGCGAAAACGTCAACAATTTTTACTTATACGTTAAAAAGAACTAAAACTAAACATTCAAATAATTCGATGTGTGTTGGCCGAAAAGACTTGTCGCGTGATTCTGTAATTCTTAACGACAGTGGGTACGTTCGCGGAGCGCGCGATTAACGCTGAAAATGCCATCTATCTTTCTTTGACACGTAATGGGCAACAAGGATAGAATGACGCTTACAGCGCTGATAGTAGTCTAGTTTACACCGATCATTTGATACGCGTATCAAATAGTGTATTTCAGCCGAGCAGCCAATGACTAATAATCCATTTACTAGTTATTTACTATTTGATAAGCGTATCAAACAATCGGTGTAAACTAGGTCAGTGAGCTGCGCCGAGTGCACCCAGTGTCGTTATGGTGTCTTTGCGCAGATATAATATATAATTAAAAAGTTGCGCAACGACGACGTAATGATAACGACCTGCTGTTAACAGTTACAGAATTACACTACTGGTCTCAGATATGAAATTTTAGCGCACCAGCGAGTCAAATATATTTTTTTATCTTTATACATCGATGCCAATGGGCGCCACTGCTATCTTACGGCTCTTACGTAATAATACAGATGTTCAACGGAACATCCGTTGCTAATTGCGCAATCTTAGATGTATTTAGTTTTTATGTAAATATAAGAGAAAGTTGAGCGACGCGACCGCAGACATTGCGAAAGACTCTCTTCCGCTAAAATTTATAATCATCTTAAAGCTGATATCTCTCTTTCTCTCTCTCTCTCTCTCCCCTGTTTAAAAAAATTGGAGGCACGAATAAAATAAAAACAATGTTTCATTTAATTACGCGGCTAATCAGTATCAAAGACTCTTTCAAAATTCCCGGTTAAAATCTCCATAGACATTTCAGCAGGTCTCCGCTCGTTAAGGAATTACGATAACCGAACGTCATTCCGATAACATTGAAAGGCACCGGCCGGATATTGCAATCTTCATTTGATGCACCGCACACACATCAGGTCTGTTTGCTTCTAGTCGAACTAGCGTGCACACTCTTTTAAAGTGATATCCGTTTAAAGTTTGACGAGGAAGGAAGTTCTAGCGCGGTCCGGTGCAGCGATAAAAAACAAAGCTATTAATATTTCGCGATAAACGCTTCGTAGTAGCGCCGTCAGCGGTAAGGTGCGACGCGAGCGCGCGCGCGCGCACGATTGTTTGCAGGTAGCTACAGCGGCGCCGGTTGTGCCGTTGTCAGCTGTTTGCTCGTAGAGCCCGTAGAAGGGACAGCCGTGGCGGCGGATTTCAATAAAGACGTCTGGGGATCTGGCGAAAACTTTGACAGGACGATAGGAACGTACCTCGTTATGCAGGAGCTCGCGACGGTCTACTGAATAACGCGACTCGTTATCGCCGTTGATTAACCTTATCAACACGTGATGCGTTTTTTCCGCGTACACCGACTCGTGGACCACGCGACGTGTTACTTATCGATCTGTCATCTTACAAGGTACAGCACGCCGTCGGACGAGTCGCTGGTGCGAGCGTATGACTCGCCATACTGTCTGTGCTAGCACGTGGCGGGTTATTCGAACACGTTCGTGACGAAACGTGGATCACGAACGAGATGCTTGTAGCGTTTAAGAGGATCCTTCAGCCATTATTTTTACTTTTATGCGCAAAGTAATACCAGGATAAGTTGCGGACCACATAGCAGAACATTATTTCATACTTAAAACACTCAGTTCAGAAGTCTAATAAAAAAGATATTGGTATTTGAAATTTTCAATTCGTAGTTCTAACTAAATTTGAAGTTGGCTTAATAAAATAGCAAAATTTTCCCACACGATTAAAGTACGCATAAAGACAAAACCAGGGACAGTCGACTTGATATAAAAAAAGAATAGAAATTAAAAATATCACTTTATATATGATTGAGTTTAGCTAACCTCAATCACCAGTTAGGGGTAAAACCGCTGAGGGTAAGAAAGAGCACTCGGAGCATCGAAAAGTTTCTCCTAGATAGCTAAATCTGTCAGGACAGATTTCGTCAAATGTCCACTACAAATTTTGAAGGCAGAAAGACTGCAGATTGCATACAGGAACCGATATGTTCAATATGTTGCCAGCATGTCAGCAGAAATACAACAAAATCTCACATAACTAGACCTGTTCGATTTTTGCCGACAATCTGTTGACAGCGTATGTTTCACGGACTCTGTTGCTAAAACAAAAAGTCAAATGCGGATACAGATGGCTATAGTTTTGGTGTGGGTTTCTGATGAATCTGCTGCCAATCTGATGCCAATCTGCTAATATTTTACCGACTGGCTTCTTGTATATGCATACGTGCAAAATTGTGCACTTAGGGTTGAACACAGCAACTTATTCGCAATTTGCAGTAACATCCAATCAATAGGATGATATGTAAAATATTTTCATGTTATTCTTAGAACACGTAATATCTGAAAGATCTAAAGCATATCTCTTTTTTTAAACGAAGTAAAATTTTAGAAAAATATATCATTTGTTTTTCGATGCACCATCTTTAGACAAAGAATTATGTATCATACGTATTTCTTGTGACGAAATCGTATGTTTCTACAGAAGTTATATTATTGATTACAATAGTTAACGATGGTACCAACAGCCAGTATAATGCGTAGTATGGTATCACAGCCAATGGGTTATCTTCAGTTGATTTTGTCAATTGTTATCAATAACACCGTGGAAGGTAGCTTATCGAGCCAGATATTAGGACGTATTCTATGGAGTCACTGGGCAGTCATTGAATTTTGAGTGACTTAATCTAACGATTTTGTTCCATCGATAAAGTAGGGAGTAAAGCAGAAGACATTCGTATTTCCTCGTGTGTACAAGATAATCTTTTTACCATTGTTTGTTTGAGCGTGTCTATCTTATGTATCACTAAACCAGTCTTGATCACATTATTTATCGATAATTATTACAAAATTATAATTATCGATAAGTATAATAATCAAGACCTAAATCTCATTTCAAGATTCAGAGCCTATCTCGAAGGCAAAAACTATCCAAGAGATGAATTGAGAATGTCAAATTTGAGTTAAGTTGAAGTATAAGAATACTCGTTTCTAATTTTTTTTCCTCTTTGAAAAGGAAATTTGACGTATTAGGATAACGAGGGGCTGTTGAAGTTGGTTGAAGGGAAAAAATGGGATGAAAAATCAAGACCCTCGGGGTCTTTCTGAGTCGAGAGGCTTTTTAGCTTTTTGTCTTGAAAATTTTGTATCCCATTTTTTCTTTCGCTGCCTAATAGCCTCTCTTTACCCCGTAGGTTTAGGTCGTATTAAAAAATCTCATCCAACTAGATTCTTCCTTCCATGATCTTATAAGCATTCCCGATACGACTATCGTGAGTAAAGTACCGCAGTCCCGGGAATTAGAAAACGCGTTTAAATCTCACTCGTGCAGCTCGCGCAATTTCGAAGAGAAAGGAAGAATACGTATTCCGAGAACGGCGCGGGTAACACAAAAGCGTTCCTTATATCATTCTCGGGATTAAATTGCGTTATCGGAGAAGATGGTAGGCAGTCAGCACACCATAATGTATGTTGCCCTCGAGGCTGAGTCGAACACGATCAGCCCGGGTGAAATGAACCGTTCAGCGAGTACTTCCCTGAATTTTTATGCGATCTGCCGCGCGCAGCCAATCCGAATTACTCCGACTTTGTTGGCGACGCTCGCTGCGGACGGATCCGAAATCACGAGAGGCTTGTTAATTCGCCGCGCCGTTCTCGAGTATGTTCCAGAGCAAACGAATCTATTCTCGTATTTTTTTTTAACAGAAGAAAAACTCTCGGTCATATTCAAAATATATTCAATATATATGCAAATCGATGTTCGTACTTGGATACATACGAGCGGTCAGAGTTGGCCAAGTCGCGAGTTTTTTTATTCACGATCAAGTCGCTCGCGTCAAATTAATCGCCTGGAACTTGAACAGATCAACAAAAGTATTAAGACCGAATCAGACTAGCGATTGTTGGCTCGGATTGATTTGGAATTGGCGATTGACGATTGTCCTTTAGCCAACAC